CAAATACATCCACGAGAAAGAGCTGCAAAGTTACAGAGGCCTCCAAAAGGATCCAATCCATTCAGAAAAGATTCCAAGCTTGATTGAGGACGGACGGCTCATATTTAAGGCATGAAATATTAAATACTAGCTCGATACTCAGCCGATGATAACTGGACACTGGGGACCAAGTTGGAGGAATTAAAGGGACTTCACCTACTTTTGTGACTTTGTTTGTTTTTGTGCCACGCCCCTTCGGTTCATCACAACCAAGGTCTTGCCGACGATGGAAATTTTCCGCTCACTTTTGGTCGTAAAGAGGACTGCTTGGAAAGGCGGGGGGAGAAATCCCATGATTTTTACACACACACACACACACACACACACACACACACGAGCACACACTTTCAAAGCTCCCTGTCAGCTGCATGTAAAACCAGTTTCACGATCAAGATTCGGCATCAAAGCCTTGGAGGTTGTCATCCAACACATTTTTATGTCTTTATATATATATATATATATATATATATATATATATTTTGCCCGCTGGGAAAACCCACACTCCCATTCATCCTCGTGGCAATCATTCCCATCCACCGCGCCGGATAATTAAACACCCATCTTTATACAAATGAATAGGTAAGAAATGAAATTAAATCCCAATTATCTTCTATCTCTCTTCTCCCCCCTCCCGTAGGCAGCAGCTTTGCATATTCCTTCCCACCCCCTGTTCCCCTGGCCCTGCAAAGCTCAACCAACCAACCAACCAAACCCGCTCCTCTCTGCATTTTTCAAGTTTCTATGGTGTTATCTCCAATTAGATTTCCCAGACAAAACCCGTGCCTCGCTGCAGCGGGGTTATTCATTCAATTGAAATCAAATTACTAATAATTTGCAAGCTATCGGGGCTGCCTTGTGGAGGTGGGGTAGACAGGGGGCAAAAGAGGTCTCCTTTATAAATTACTAATAATTAAAAGAGAGAAAGAGGCAGGCAGGGGACGTTCCAAGCAAGCGGACGTGGCATCGCCTTCCATTTTAACCTTCTCAGCTGTTCGTCCTCTTAACGCGCCATCCGAGGGCGAAGAGTTTAATAAGGTGACCCAGATGGGTCCTTCAACCTCACAGCTGAGCTCTTCCTCCTCCAAGCTCAGGGAGAGACAGAGGAAGAGACAAAGATGGGTGGGGGGAAAAAAACCAAGATCTGCTAAGAAAACAGGCTGGCTTGGAATGACATCATCATCACCAACCCTACATTTTGGGGGAGGGGGGGGAACTGTTATGACCTAGGTTTCCCCAAAAGCACGAAGCCGACTCCTCGTCCCGATAAAACCCCTTTTATTTAGTTTCCAGTGAATTCTCTCCAGCAAAGTCCTGGACAACAACAATCTTTCAAGAGATTTCACAACTACAGAACTTTACTTGGAGAGCTGCCAGGCCGATGTCTTTCAAACGCCACTCTGTGACAGACACTACTGGGCAAGAATGCAGAAACAGATCTTCACCCAAATGAACTAATTGTCTCCTGCAACCACCACTCCCCTTTTGCTCCTCTTTATTCCCTATGGGAGAGTCCACCTGAGCCTTTACTCCCGAGTTGACCCTTGTTCCTTAGCTGTTCCCTTTTCCTGGCAGCTCTGTGCATGCACACACTGGGAACAGGCTCCAGCTATTCTTCTTCCCTACCGATCTCCGACTCCGAAGGCAGCCGATAATAGTCGGAGGGCCCTGGCCCTCCCTCTGCCTCCAACGCAGAGCCCTCGTCAGAGCCTTCCCCAGACTCCAGGACTGGCCCATGTTCCTCCCCAACCTCCTCCCTGTGCGAATCTGCCGCCAGCTCCGCTGGCAGGCTGCAACCGAAACTAGGAATTCAGGAAGTGAGCAAGAACACTGCAAAAATTGGTCAACCCACCCATTTCTTTTGCTTACCCTTATCTTCGACGCAGTGGCCAGCGACACAAGAAAGCCTTGATGTTTACAAGGAGGCATCTACACCTGCTTTCCAACCATACATTGTTTTAAGTTCGGAGCCTTTTTAGGTGACACCACACAACCCAAAGCTGCTAATTCAGGCTGAAGAACAGGATAAGGGTTACAGAAGGCAGGAAGGAAACAAGTAACCTCAAGAAGGGTTTTTGGAAAGCATGGTGCACAGCACTGTAGGTTGTGCTAGAACTTCTGGGGTTCCACAAGAGAGATTTAAAAAAAGAAGGTTCACTCAGAAACTAGCCATGTTTCTAACACTACAGCTTTGCTTCTTGATCAAGGGGTCGACAACTTGGTTCAAACAGGTTCCAAGTCCTGACAAATTTGAAAAACTCTTTCCTAAATCGTATCCTTCCACTTGTGACCTTCATGACTGACCAAGATATCTACAGAACTGGAAAATTTAGCCACGGAAACTGCTGTCAATTGTGGTTAGTCTGAAGCTAAATTTGTTGCCCAGATTTTGAGAAGACATCAAGAGGAGTAAAATGGGGTAAAATCCACTTAACAATTGTCTCACTTAGAAAACAGAAATGTTGGGCCCCATTGCGGCCGTTAAGTCAAGGACTATCTGTATGCTTTGGGGATTTATTTTTTCCACACATTACAATTACAACTGCTTTTTAAACTTTTTTATTGAGTGTACATATACACACACCCAAACACACACATATACCGGCACATATACATACATACGTTTATTTATACACCCGCAAAATAAAAGTGACCAGCATGGCATTTCCTAGCAGAGCAGAAAGAGAGGAAGAAAAAAAATAAAACTGTTCACCAGGATCTTCAAATGTATGTTTCTTGTTTGGTTTTAATTCCGCTTCTACGCTGGAGGAGCGTGCGGGAATAGAGGACACGCCAGTGGCACCATGCCACCTGTGGCTCCATCCAGACCTCGGGCCGGGAAATTTCAGCAAACATCAGGTACTGATTGTTGCCAGAGACCCAAAAGAGCTGGCAACCTCTCGTTTTTATCTACCCCCCCACTTTTTTTTTTGGCTTAGGGCAGACGGTGCCACTCCAATCCGCCTTCAATGCTCCCTTTCATGTTGCTGAACCCACGTCCTGGCCTCAGTTTCTCTTGGCGGTTTCTACCCACATCGCACCGGTGCCAAACCTGGCCAAGCCTTCTGATTAGCCTATGCAATTAACATATCCCAGGTTTATAGCAAAACGGGTTGTTTTTTTTCCCCTCCCATGAGCTTACTAGAATTGTTGGGCCCCCAAACTGCTAACTAAGATAATCTCAAGGAAGGGTGGCAGGGATCACTCGTCCAAATCAAGAAGATAGTAATTTGGAGCCCAATGTCATGCCCCTGTCGGAATCTGACTCTGCGGAGGAAGCTGAACAGCTGACAGGGAGTGGGACTGTGGCTCCATTGGCTGTGAAAGAAACTGGGGAAGGGCAAAGTCCGGCTGGGCAGAGCAGGGGAGAGGTAGAACAGGGGAGAGGGAATTCAGAGGAAAACCCAGGCCCACCCCCTCTTCATCCTAGGGCACACAGGGAGGAATGGAGAAGGGAGCAACGTAAGTTGCATGGCTTATGGGGGAGGAAAGGGCCCTGATTCCCTTCATTAGCTGCAGCTGGGAACACAGTGTATTAAAAAAGGAAGCTGTGCGCAGCAAGCTGTTGGGAGCAATGGTGACTTTATCTTGTATCGTCGTGGATTATCTGTGTTCCTGGCATCTTCCCAACTGTGTGAGTTTTGCTGTGCTTTCAAATCTGAAATTCCTTCTCCTGCCCTGTCAAGCTAATTACTTCAGCTTGGTTTGTTTGGATTTTAAGTTACAGTTTGTATGTACCTTGTTTTGGATTTGATTCTCTGCAGTCAAAGGCTGTTCCTGGGAGAGTTTTTCTCTAGCCCAAAGGTAACCTGGACATTGGGGGCAAAGTTGGAGATAATAAAGGGACTCTTATTACTTATCTGACCATGTTGCCTTTGTGTCACGCCCCTTTGGGTCATCACACCCAACTTGGATCAAATTTGAGATTGCAGCTCTGTGGTTTTTCAAGAAGAGAGATATACAGGTAGTCTTGGGCTTACAACAATTCATTTAATTACTGTTGAAAGTTACAATGGCACTATGATGACCCAAAGGGGCCTGGCACAAAGGCAACAGAGTCAGATAATCAGTAGAAGTCCCTTTCTTAGCTCCAACTTTGCCCCTGGTTACCTTCTCGCTGGAGAAAAACTCTCCCAGGAACAGCCTTTGGCTGCAGAGAGTCAACTCCAAAACACAGTCAATGAAAACTTTAAGTCCAATCAAGGCAAGATGAGAAGTTCCAGGCGTGAATATCAGAGCTTAATAATAATAATAATAATAATAATAGTAGTAGTAGTAGTAGTAGTAGTAGTAGTAGTAGTAGAATCCTTTCTTAGTGAGCCCCTAGAAGCCAAGAGCAACATACGGGCCAAATTTCCAAGTTTGTAGGCTTTACAGTTCTGGAGATTTTGTGATGATGTGTGAGGGGTCTTTCTCCTTTTATATACAGTATATAGATAGATTTGGAATGAAATTAAGTGGAAGCTTTGTGCTATACAACCACAGCAATCCCTGGGTTCTAGGCTCGTCGAGGCAATCCTCAACGCACAATCCAAATTTGGACTGGGATTTTGGTGGCTGAGTGATGCTGTCATTAAACAGAACACCGTGTGCCTGGACCCAATTTTACAGCCGTTTTCACCGCGGTTGTTATAATCGTGGCCGTTACGCGGTTACGAATTAAACCCAGATTTCCCAATTGACCTTTTTATTTTTTTTTGTCCTAAAGCGGCTGGGGAGGTCAAAAATTGTGATCACGTGATTGCAAATGGTCTCAAATGCAATCTGGTGGCCTGAATTGTAAGCGTGTCATGAGGGATGATTCAACCATTGCAACTTGGAGGGTGGCCCGTATCACTTTTTTTCCCCCCAAGCTGTCTTAACTTTGAAGCATTCTTAGCACAAATGGTCATTACGATGAGGACTGCCTACACAATTGTGCTTTTCTTTTTAGGGGGGGGGGAGAAGAAAGAACACCCGCCTACCTTCTTTTCATGATACTAATATGCAAGTCCTCTTCCTGTTTGACATGAGGGTGATGTCCGTTGATTTTTTCCACCTCCTTGTGGTTGTCGCCGTGTGAGAAAAGAGCAGGGGGCTCCTTTTTGGGAGTTCGAGAGGGAGGCAGGGGGATTGTCCTCTTCTCCGCCAAACGCCCCCGATTCTGGAAAAGTGGAAGGAAAAAGAGAGAAGATTAATAAAAACGTCGGGACAGCAACACGAAAATGTACGCGTTTCTTTAAAAGATGCAACATTGAAGCGTCCGCTAATCCAAAAATTATTTTCAGAGCTCCGAAGAGGGAGAGAGCAGTAGAGAAAGAAGAAAGCAGGCACAGAAGGAAGAAGCAACGGCATTACCCGTTGACTTTTAAAGATGCCACCCCTGGAAATATTTTGCACCATTCTTGCACTGGATGTTTTGCTACACATGTCTGTGATCTTGTTCTGGCTTACGCTTCCCCAAGATCATGAAGCCGACTCCTCGTCCCGATAAAACCCCTTTTATTTAGGTTAAAGTGAATTCCTCTCCGGCAAAGTCCCGGCCAACAGTCTTTCAGGAAAGTTCACAACTACAGACCTCTATCAGGCTTGGAGAGCTGCCAGGCCGGTATCTTCCAAACTCCACTCTGTAGCAGCAATTACTTGGCAAGGAGTCAGGAACCTTCACCCTAATGAATGGAACTAATTGTCTCCTGCAAACACCGCTCCCCTTTCACTCCTCTTTATTCCCTATGGGAGGGGCCATTCACCGTCCACCTGAGCCTTTACTCCCGAGCCGACCCTTGTTCCTTAACTGTTTCCTTCTTCTGGCAGCTCTGTGCATGCACACACTGGGAACAGGCTCCAGCTGCTCTTCTTCCCCACTGATTTCTAACTCTGAAGGCAGCTGATAACCGTCAGACGACCCTGGCCCTATCTCTGCCTCCGATGCACAGCCCTTGTCAGAGCCTTCCCCAGACTCCAGGAATGGCCCATGCGCCTCCCCAACCTCTTCACTGGCCAAGTCTGCCACCAGCTCCGCTGGCCACTGATGGGCCACAACAGGTATCTCAGAATCTCATTTCTGCTGTTTCAGGTGAGAAGTTTGAATGCCTATCGCCGCAGCTCCAGAGATAAAGTGCATGCTATCTTACAAACTGCCATTTGTTACTGCAACTAGAGACAATCACGTGCCAGCTGCCAACATCCAACAACTGAGAGACCTGACCGGCTCATAAAAAGCATTTCATTGTTCCCTTCTCTTTCCCTTTTGGCAGAAAAATAAGGAAGTCAAAAAGCCAACAACGGTAGCTGTATCGTATCTTGACCTTGAAAAGTCTATCCACAGCCCGCCAACCTCTGTCTCTCTCCAATGCGTTTGCACAAATCACGGGGTTTTTTTCCCCGCAACAGGGAAAGAAAACGACAGTTTCTCTCTTGAAATTCCATCAAATTGAAGGCAAATGATAGGAGACAAAAACACCCTATATGTGAACAATTAAACCCCTCCAATGAAGCTCCCACCCGCTCCCTAAAATCTGATTATTTTGCAGTGCACAGTTTGGGTGGGGGAAATAGAAAGGAGGCCTTGAGATGGGAAAACAAGAGGGGGGAAAAACCTGAAGCAGGTTCTCAAAGGAGGTTGAGGGATATCTACGGTCTGGTTGGGAGATAGAACAAGTGCCAGAAAATGCAGACTAATCCCTCCCAGTAGAACCATGACGAGCGTTTAATTGATCCCAGAGACAGGGCAGGCTTGGAAGAAGCCGAATCCGCAACGTGTGTGGGGGGCAGAAGGAAGCAGAGAGGAAAACCTCACGGAGCTGAAGAGATGGAAAGGAGGCGGATGTTTAACTCTGCAGGGACACCACCCCCACGTCAATATTTGATAAGAAAGGGAGGAAAGAAAGGAGGAGAATCAGGGAAGGAAGGAAGGAAGGAAGGAAGGAAGGAAGGAAGGAAGGAAGGATAAAATGGAGTGGGAGGAAGGAATATTCAAAGATTGATGGATTGGATGGGTGGATGGAAGGAATATTCAAAGAAGATGGATGGAAGGAAGGAAGGGAGGAAGATTAAAAGAAGATGGATAGATGAGTAGATGGATGGATGGAAGGAACAATGGACAGGCAGAAAGAAGGAAAGAAGAAGAAGGAATAAAATGGAGGGAGGGAGGGAGGAATCTTCAAAGATTGATGAATTGGGTGGATGGATGGATGGAAGGAAGATTCAAAGAAGATGGATGGAAAGAAGGAAGAAACATTCAAAGAGGGAGGGAGGGAAAACGGAGACAGAAAAGAAGGAAGCCCCATTATTACAACTCCTAATTTAGCAATCATTGTTAATTACAGCGGCATTGAAAACAATGGCTTACAACTCCTCCTCACCCTTACGGCTGCCATAAAAACCCCATGGCCATGTGGTCAACATTCAACAAAGCCATTGGCCAGCTGTTTTAAGGCCCTTTTCTGAATGGTCTGAGATGAAGTTAAACAAACTCTTTGAAAAACATTTAAAGCCCACAAACACAGAGGCCCGTCCAACTTAAAAAACTCGGTCCGTGCATCAAAATCCACAGGCTCGCAGGCGGATAGACACACACAGGAAAAGCAATACTAAAAATATCCTCCATCTGCAAGTTTCCCATTTGCAGCCGAGGGGGGAGGAGGAAAAACACAGCTATTTTCTTCTGCTGTTCATGCATTTCACTCCTTTTGCAGTCTCTCTCTCTCTCTCACACACACACACACACAGGCCTGGCCATGAGCTCCTGGTTCTTTTATTTTTTTTCAAATTAACAAAACAGAGTTTCAAAACTCTGGCTTTTTCTTTTTTTTTTTTAAATGCAGGAATCAAAAGAACCCTGCTATAAAACCCTCTAACAACCATTGCAAAATTTGAAAGGAAGAACTAACTAAGCATGGATGGAAGACAATGCAAAGCTCAAAAATTCAAACAAAACCTGAGAATTCTCCTGAACGAACCTCGCTGAGATTAAAATATCCCTTTCACAGATCTGGTCCCTTTTCATAAAAGCCCCCTCAAAGGTTGGAGCCGGGGAGCCAAAGACAACTGCGGCACTAAATAAAGCCACCAAAATAGCAGCGCTGTTTGAAGTTACTGAGGGAGATCTAATCCAGAGATCCTGTAGAACTCCAGATGTTTCTCGGTTTCGGTTCCCAACATCTCTTGTCGCTGTTTTGCAATGTGACACACAACACGACACGTTCTTTAAGGGGCGACGTAGGTGGCACTGCAAGACAAGCCTAGAGAAGGTGCTTGGAAGATACCAGCTGGCATTTTTTGAGGGGGGGTGTTGTGGTTCGTCGGCAGTCGGTGCAGACGGCACCTGAGTCGGATAGTGGGGAAGAACGGGGACCAGTCCGGGAGTCTGAAGAGGACTCGGACGAGGGTCCTGCGTCCGATGCAGAGATGAGGCCAGGACCATCTGGGAGAGGGGTGCTGCCTTTGGAGCCTTGGGAGTCTGGCAGCAGCGAGGAAGAGGAACGAGGGGAGACTGTTCCCAGTGCGCGTGTGCACGGAGCTGCTGGAAGGCAAGAGCAGCTGAAGCAGAAGGGGCGACTCGGAAATAAAGGCTGGGAGGTGATTGCCCCTCCCATAAGGGATGAAAGTCTGGCCAAGAAGATGAAACTTTTGCAGGAAGCAAGGTCATTCGATCGGTTCCAAGTCATCCTTGAAGCTCTATGTACTTTGGTTGGTTTTTTTTGTAGTTTAGCTGATTTCTTTTCTAGTTACTTTGATATTTCTGTTTTGACAGCACTTCACAGAACCCCTAAACACGAGCTGGATTAGCAACTGAACTGCCACTCAATGCAGTGAGGAGGGTATAATTCAGAAAAGGATGCCCAATATAATTCTGGCATACAATAGAAGGAAATGATCTACAGGCTCTGGAACAGCAGCCAACGAACTACAGCCATCCTTGACTCACAATTATTCCTGGTCCCAACAGCACCGAAAAAGGTCATTTATGAGCAGTTCTGGAACTCACGACCTTCACAGCATCCCCACAGTCAAGTGATCAAAAATTTGGGCACTTGGCAACTGGCGTGTACTTACGACGGTTGCAGAATCCCAGGGTCACGCTATCACCTTTACAGCCAGCTTTGGACCAGCAGAATCAATGGTGGAAGCCTGTTTTACCTAATGACCGTGTGATTCACTCTGCAACTGCAGTGATTGGCTCAACGACCGTGGCAAATCAGGTCATAAAATCAGTGACTCACTTAACTGCCTTATTCATCTTCATTTAATGACCCCCATAATCCTTTGCATTGGAGTGGAGTTTGGGCAACTGAATGGAGCCGAGTGTTTGTTGGCCGGATGCCCTCCCTGTTGCCAATGTGGAGTTCTATTCAGCAGATATATTCTCATCATTCCCAGAGAGACTTAACTGCCTTGATCAGCACAATGGAAATTCTAGCCCTGATTGTAGACTTAAGTCAAGGATTACTTCTTAGTAAGTTATTAAGTTGAGTTAGAGAGGCAGTGTGGAATAGACAGCCAGTCAAACCTTTCATGCTATCTTACACAACCGCCTCCTTAGAGTAGGAGGTACCCTCTTATCTGCAGCTTTCCTACTGTCAATTAACGGTGGCTGATTGTTTACATTGTCAGAATTCCTGTCCACCTTTCAGAAAAGTTGACCAAGTCAACCTGGGTTCTTTTTCAGGTATGCAACGTGTCGCTCATCCCTTGACCAAAGGAGCACATAACAACACCTATGGCGCATGAGAACATCCATCCGTAATCAAACCAACCAATGGCAACTCTTGAAATCTGTCAGGACTTCAAGCAGCCACTGAATATTCTACATATTAAAACATAGAATAACAGAGTTAGAAGGGACCTTGGAAGGTCTTCTAGCCCAACCCCTGATCAAGCAGAAGACCCTATACTGTTCCAGATAAGGGGCTGCCCAGTCTCTTCTTATAAACCTCCAGCGATGGAGCACCCAACACCCAAAACTTCTGGTGGCAAGCTGTTCCACTGATTAATTGCTCTCACTGTCAAATTTCTCCTTAGTTCCAGGTTGCTTCTCCCCTTGATTAGTTTCCACCCATTGCTTCTTGTCCTGCCCTCAGGTGCTTTGGAGAATAGCTTGACTCCCTCTTCTTTGGGGCAGCCCCTCAGATATTGGAGCATGGCTATCCTGTCTCCCCAAGT